ACAAAAGGATCGAAGAAGAAGAATAAGACAGTGGACGCTGCTGTATACTAGTACTAGGCATTCTAAAAAAAAATCGATCAGTAGGGTATCGATTCCAATACAAGCGCTCTACCATCTGAGCTACTGTCCCTGGTGGAAAATAGTGAGGAAGAGATGGAAAAGAAACCCCAGAGAACTTTACAGTAACACAAGAATATTAGTAGGCAAATATAGTCAGCCAACTGGATCAATCAAAAATTGTCAAAGGAAAGGTACTTCCTAGGGCTGGTCCAACGAAAAGTGAATCATCATCATCAGGTACCCAGATGGTATCCCAGCTGAAGCCATTAGGACCAACATAAACACATCAACAGAATTGCTACATAGATTATTTAGTAAAGTCTGGGAGACCGAAGAAATACCAGCAGACTGGAGAGAATGTTATCTTGTGAAATTGCAAACAAAAATAGCTACATTACGTATTATAATAGAGCAATGCGACAGGGATGTCTTTTGTCGCCTCTCTTATTTTTACTGGCTATAGACTGGATTATGAAAACAATAACTGCTAACACCAAGAATGGAATTCAGCGGGCCCCTACAAAACAGCTTGAGGATCTGGACTTCGCTGATGCTATTTTTCTTCTGTCCCATTCACGGAGTCAGATGCAAGATAAATTAAGTATACTTGATGCGAGATCACAGCAGCTTAGTCTGAAAATATATAAAGGAAAGACAAAGATAATGAGAATAAATCAGGCAAATAGTAATGTGGTTTCTCTTAATGGCACCCCACTGCAAGACGTGGAGTCGTACACCTATTTGGGCAGTAATGTAGATAGAGATGGAGGAACTGATAAAGATATTAAAATAAGAATATAAAAGGCAAGAGGAGCTTTCATAGCATTAGGAGATTTGTGGAGGTCAAAAGAAATTAAAAGAAATACTAAATTAACAATTTTTAATTATAATGTCAAATCAGAACTTTTGTATGGGGCGGAAACATGGAGAACAACTAAGGAAATTACTAATAAATCACAGACATTCATTAACTGGTGCCTGCGCAGAACAGAGGGAATTAAATGGTATGATAGAAAAATAATGTAGAGCTTTGGGAGAGAACTAAACAGGCTCCAGTGGACCAAGAGATGAGAGAAAGAAGCTGGCGTTGGATAGGTCACACACTGAGAAAACATGAAAACAACATAACTAGAATGTCTTTGCCTCGGAACCCACAGGGGCATAGGAATAAAGGAAGGCCAAAAACACACAGAGAAGAGAGCTGGAGAATGAAGTTAGAAAGATGGGGAGGACATGGGGAGATCTCCATGCAATGGCGAAGTATAGATAGACTTGGCGTGAGTTGGTTGAGGGCCTATGCTCCATTGGGGGGATAGAAAGGCAGAAGAAGAAGACAACACAAGCAGGAGACTGTCCCTTTAACCTTGCACCACTGTATGCTCCTAACAGAGAAGCTATCCGACCCGTTTCAACCTCAGCGAAGACAACGCTGTGTGATACACGGCAGGTGCCTGGTTCATATTTTCTGACAATAATTTTGAAGAAGAACAAGACAATCGACGTCGCTGCATACTGGGCATTCTCGAAAATAACAACAACAAAAAAAAAAAATTTGGAGCAGTGGGGTATCGATCCCCATACCTCTCACATGCTAAGCGAGCGCTCTACCATCTGAGCTACAGCCCCTGGTAGCTGTCGAAGGAAGTAAAAGTTAAACTGGAGAGCAACACAAACGGGCGATTGTCGCAACTTGGCACCACTACATTCTGCTAGAAGAGAAGCAATCTAGTTGATAGAGTATGGTTATTAAAGGTTAAAATCGAGAGGACCGACTTAATTACAAGGGTTTTGTCCTACACGGCGAGACGCCTGTCAAGAGCACCGCATGAACTCGTTAGTTCCCCTGGCGAAGATCCCCAGGGATCTCCGTAAAAACTGCATTTGTGAAGCGAATTTCGCAGCCGTGAAACGAACCCACGACCTTCAGAGCGCAAGGTAAGAGGCAGTAAATACAATGCGGTGTGGTACACACGTTGAGACATGGACTGCATGATAGCTTTCATCAAGGGTATCTCGGCTTCCTGGTATACATTTTCCGACAAAATGATCAAAGAAGAAAAAGAAAAGACTATTGGCATCGCTGCAATGGATCATTCTTTAAAAAAAATTTGGAGCAGTGGGGTATCGATCCCCATACCTCTCACATGCTAAGCGAGCGCTCTACCATCTGAGCTACAGCCCCTGACGTATGCCTGTCGTAAAAGAAGGGTAAAGTACAGAAAAACACAAACTGACTAGTGTTCCTGCAATTTGGCACTGCTGCTAACAGAGAAGCTCTCTGACCCGTTCCAACTTCAGTGAAGACAACGCTGTGTGATACACGTAATTTACATACATAACCAGAGAAGGAACACCCGAGGCCGTAGAAATGTTATTATATGTATTAAATGTATAATACAATATTAAACAAACAGTCAATGAATTATTATAATTTATAAAATAATTGACACTTGTAAAAAGTAAAAGAAGTAGGCTAGACTAGAAAGATAGAAGGACACTATGGGGTGACCCGTTTGCTATGAGCCTGAAACTAGGATTACCAGAAGGACACACTAGACAACATAACAATTGAAAGCTTTAGTTACCATGCCGGGAATGCAATGCACGGCGGGTTCCTAGTATAAACTGTTTGACCAAAGGGTCAAAGAATAAAAAGTAAGAAGACAATCGACGTCGCTGCACATTAGACATTCTGAAAAAAACACAAATGGATCAGTGGGGTACAGCCCCTGATGAGTGAGTGAAGTTTAACATCACCAGGACCATACAACGAGCGATAAACACACGGTGACACAAAGTGCCACCATTCGGAAGAGAATCACATGGACACGTCCCAGAAACAGGAGATTGTCCTTGCAGACACAGCCACGGTGGCCGTTGCATTTTTGCTCCATTTGTAGACTGGAAGGATATAGTTTCGTTGCCCAGCTTCTGAGGTGAGTGCATGGCGTGACGCTGTGAGCTGCTGGTTTTAATTGGAATGTTTTTCTACTGTGACCAACGTAGTGGTGTGAATTGTAGATTCAGAAAATGGCGTGATGCCGGTTGTCGCAATATTGGTGGTGCCATTATGTGATTAAAATTCATCACGTGTGCAACTGCGGATCTGTTAGTGACTTCTGCTAGTCACTAGTGCTACCATCCATGACGAACTGCATTTCTAATGTCCGACTGTTTGTGTTAGCACTTCGGATGGCTACCGTATGCTTTTAATGCGTGCGTATGCTAGTGCATATGCTGAGACAGCAATCTGTCTATCTTTCCACAAGGGACTGTGATAAACAGTCTGTGTGTTTTTCGTTGACACAGGAGCAGGGCAACTGGGGTGACCTGTTTGCTATGAAGCTGAAACTAAGATTACCAGTCCCTGCAACTTGGTACCCCTGCATGCTGCTAAGAGAGGGTATCTAGTTGGTAATGTTCTCAGTGCACTTATTTTTATAGCGAGGCGCATACGCCAATAGGAGGTGACATGATCCATTACCGGCACGGTAACTATAGCGTCCGATTGTTATGCTGCTTAGTGTGTTCTTTTATCATTCTTTTTCTTTCTGTGAGAGCCGATCAATACATTGTGTTATACATATATATATATATATATATATATATATATATATATATATATGTGTGTGTGTGTGTGTGTGTGTGTGTGTGTGTGTGTGTATATATATATATATATATATATATATATATATATATATAATTTCTACGGCCTCAAGGGTTTCCCTCTCTGATTATTTGTGCTAACAGCAAAGAAAAATGACCTGTTCAGACTTCAATGGACAGCACGATTTTTTGTTTATCAAAGCTACCTCGGCTTCCTGGTAAAAATTTTCTGACTAAATGATTGAAGAAGAAGAAAAGACGAGCGACAAGCTGCATATTGGTCATTTACAAAAAAAAAAATAAGAAAAAAATATATGGAGCAGTGGGGTATCGATCCCCATACCTCTCACATGCTAAGCGAGCGCTCTACCATCTGAGCTACAGCCCCTGGTGGAGACGGGAAGGAGGAGAAAGAAAAAGTACAGTAGAACACAATGACGTAATGCATGACGTCATGAATGAAAATAGGCAGTGAAAACGAGGCGACACGTCCTGTGTGTTTGAAATGTCCATGGCTGGACGTGTTTTGTCCGCTCCAGATCTGGATTCTGTTAGTATTCTGCCAGCTTAATGTGAACATTCAATCCCGTAAGATTGAAGGGTATCATTTCTATCCCCTGCTGACCTAACGCTTGCAAGCCTAGCGCGTTGTAAGGAGTAACACAAGCGACGTACACACGCATACTTCACATAGTTGGAAAGTAGGCCGCCTCCTTCAGTGCAGACGTCGTTGAGAACTACCAGCCGTGTGTTAATTACAGCCAGCCCGGGTCCCAAAGTCCCCGGCCCCGACAGTTGTGTGCATATTTGCTAGGTGGAGATAGTTGCCGACAGGTCATCTTATACCGTCGCGTTGTCTAGGACAAGAGAACAAAAATCGCCGGTTCAAGAACACGTACGCTACACATTGATCCTGTTAACTGTCTGGATCATCAAGGGGATTGTAAAGTGTGGGCGTTTGGTTAGACACTCAGCCGTGGTTGTGAGACTGATTTAAGTTTAGTCTTTTATTTTACTGTTCACCATTGAGACAATTCTTTAATTAACTTCAATCTAGACTGTGGATAATTTATAATTGATTCATTTATTGATTTATTACCGTTATTAAGATCATATACAAAACAGTGAGTGTGATGCTGATCTGACTTTGAATGTGACATTTATAATTTAATACGTTCCGTTAAACCAGTTTATTGACTCAAAGCTCCGAAACGAGAAACTGTTTGACTAATTCAATTCGATCTCAAGTTGGACACACGAAAGTGAAATTCTCACATGATATTTCGTGTGTAATTGATAAATTATTGCCCTGAATAAAAACACAGCGAGGAGAAATGGCGTCCAGTTCTGTAAGTCAAGAGAGTTTGGACATGGATGACATGGACACCACAGCGCGAAGAAATCGAATCAGAATTCACAGAGGACATAGTGGTCGAGGATCAATGCCTCACCGTGGTCCTACTGACCGTGGGGATGGAGGAGAGCTGGACAGGGATGATAGGGGCGACTACGGTCCAGATGTTGGTGATGGGAGTAGCACTACAGGAGTTGGATTGGTGACTCAGTCTCACAGTCACCTTCCTGGTGATCATGAATCCCCAACCAGGGGAGCAGCTGCTAGGCTCAAGGACAAGAGAAGCAGACCCAATCATATGAAAGGAAAATTGCCCAAAGACAAACGAAAATTGAGAGAGAAGCGCAGGAGCACAGGTGTGGTTCACTGTATACCTTCTACAGAGGTGAGATACATTGTTTTAATTAAATTAGGTTCTTTTATTTGATTTAACCCCACCTCAGGGACTCCAAGGTTTTGTGGGTAGTTCCTGTAAAGTAAAGTATTATAGTTGCTTAGTGTTAACTCTTTAAGTCCCAGGGGGTTTAGCATCACAGGCCCGGGGAAGAGTAAAGAAAGTAATAAAATCGGCGCATCATGCATTTATTGGGCTTCTAGGTAGGAACCTGTGAACGTATGATGCGTTCCTTGGGACTCAAAGAGTTAAGTCAGTGCTCATTTCACACTGTAACACTCCTATCTATCAGAGCCACAGATGGGGCAGAATAAGAGAAAAGAACCTTAAACTCTATTTGTTCCTTTTATGACCAACATACAATTAAAATAAACATACAATTCTTGTTTTTAGTTTCCTTGTCTGTCTAGACCAGATTTCTTCTCTTTTATGTTCACCAGCTGTAAACTCTGCGAAAAATCCTGCTTGGTCACCCACTTCTAGAATTTAGTCTAGTTTCAGAACTTGAATTTTGCATACATGTCCATTTTACGCACATCTGGCATATTTTTTATGCAGACTGTTAATTGCTCCCCTCTCAGGCAGATTCACTCCTTCTTCGGGGGAAGCACCCCTAATTAGCCACCTCTTACGACATGCTTGTTAAAGTGGCCAGCGTCTATGGCTTAGGCGTTGTGAACACGCTTCGTAATGCTGCAGTGCTGGGTTTCATCCCAGCTGTGGACCTTGTGCCTTGTCTTAGTTTTGACCATGGTATTGACAAGCTGACTGTCAAGAAAGCAGTGGCCAACTACTGGACATTTAATTTGCCTAGAAAAACCACAACAGCCAAAAAATGCTGGGGTTGGTCTGCAACGTCCTGTAAAGGACACACAACTAATTTTGTTTGTTTGTTAGAGTGGCAGTGGGTCTATTTTCTTATTACCTCCAGAATGGGACCATGGAACCCACACTACTCACACAGTGAGAACAGCTATTATGTTATTATGACTTTTCTGTCATCCCTGCCTGTCCCATATTTTTTCAAATGAAAAAGGATCCTTTACTTATTGACATAAATCTTTGATTCACGTTAAATTTGATGGTATCCTTACTATAAGTTTTTCTTGATTTATTTTTCTTTTCTTCTTGGCAATCACTGGCTGTAAACTCTGATGGAAAGCTGTGGTTGTTCATTCACAACTAGACCATAGTCTTGTTCTAGAACTTGAATTTTGCATGCACATTCTCATTGCATATCTGGCTTATTTGTATGTAGGCTTTGCCTCTCGAGATGCATGCCGACTTTTGAAGAAGAAACTATAAACAGTCATATTTTATGAAGTGCTTGTTATGTGAGGTCCCTGGTCTGTTCTCTCCACCCCACCCACTACCAAATCTTTCGGGTGTTTTTTTCCCATCTTGCTTGTTTCAAGTCTATGTACCAAATGTGCCTAGTGATTACTTGTACGAATAATTCTGGTATGAACAAATATTTTATTCTCAGCACTTAAGGGAACAGTTTTTAGATTTTCACAATCAGTTGAATGTTTACAATATATATAAATATATCTTATTGTAATGCTTTCATTGGGTTTCTAAACAAATGAGTTTGGCTGAATGATTATTTTAAACTTGTTTACCTTGAGAGAAATAGATTGATACTTCAGTTTGTTCTTTTTCCTATTGACCAGTTTTTAAATGTATTTTAAAAAAAAAACATTTGTTATTGCCATAGTTTTCATTGTTGTCTTCTTAATTCTTTGTTGTTATTTATTTGTTTTTTTTTTTCTTAATATGTTTAGTGTCATAATAGTACAACTTCGTTAATACACATTCCAGTGGACCAAAAAGTTAAGAGTTTGTGTAAACCCAAAAAAAATGTGTGCTGGTCAGAGACTTATAGACATATTATGAATGATACATCCCTGCTGGGACAAAATTGTGTCCATACTAACCACGTGTTCATCTCAACCCATTCAGCCCAAGAAGCCTCAAAACCAATACTGCCGGTTGGGCCCAGTTCCTCATAAATGCCACTTTTCCACCCCCCCCCCCCCTCCCAGGGGGATTATTTACAGGACGCATCTTCACAGATGCGAAGTCAGTTGTCACAGCCCCAGCCTGATATAGATATAACATATGATGAGGCCAAGTGGTTTATAAGAAGTACCTATAATACCAAATGGGAAGGATGATGCATACTACCAACTTAACCAAAGAGGACAAGTAGTGATCTTTAGACTCAGCACCGGCCATAATAGGCTGAAACACTACTTGTTCAATAAGCTATAGATAGGAGACGCTGATGATTTTAACTGTGGAAGTGGTAAAGTGACAGCTAAACATTTGCTGAAAGTGTCCAGCATATGCAGAACAGAGAAAATTATTGTGACTGACACCCGGTTATTTTGAGGACAAACTCTGGAGATGTCAGCAGCCTCATTTTGACTGCTGATTTCTTCAAATATATCTGGTAATCTTAGTTTCAGCTTCATAGCAAACAGGTCACCCCATAGCTGCTCCGCTCCTGTGCCAACAAAAAATATACAGAATGTTTATCACAGTCCCTTGCGGAAAGATTGACAGACTGCTGTCTCAGCAGATGCATTAGCGTACACACACATTAAAAGCAAATGGTAGCCATCCGAAGTGCTAACACAAACAGTCCAACATTAGAAATGCAGTTCATCATGGATGGTATCAGAAGTCATCAGTAGTTGCACACGTGATGAATTTTAATCACATAATGGCACCACCAATATTGCGACAACAGGCATAGCATGATTTTCTGAATCTATAATTCACACCATCACATTGGTCACAGTTGAAAATTATTCCAAATGAAATCAGCAGCTCAGTGGCACGCCATGCACTCAACTCAGAAGCTAGGGAACGAAACTGTATCCTTTCAGTCTACAAATGGAGCAAAAATGCAAAGGCCACCGTCTGGCAGAAGCAAAAAATTTGCCACAGCTCAAAACAGTGGCCGTGCCTAGCATCTATTTTGACCGGAAGTCAAAATATAGTATAATGTTTAAATATATCTACATTGATGTCTGAATGTATAAGAAGAAGAAAACTGTCAGGGATATTGGGAGCTGAAAGTCCTTTGAAATGCAGAGTTCATTAACCATGACGTTGGAAGATAGTATCAGACCCATCTGTCCGTATACTGCCACACTTGATGACCTTGGGCATCTTATGTGGGAAATGTCATATGAAACTATAGTGGATTTAGAAGTCCACCCCAGTAAAAGTTTAACATGCAAAAGAAGCAAAGTACTCATTTGTGTAGGTAATTGAAATCCCAGGTCTGCAGTTTGCCTGCTGCTGTCTTCTAAAGACATAGCCTGTGATGAATGAGATGTTAAAAATATAGAAGTAAAGTTGAACAGTCATGAGCAGGGCGTGGCAATTCCTTTAGTGAACCCAGTACCAGAGCACCATATAGTGGCTCTGTATTTATGGGTCTCCTTGGATGGCAGGCATTGCTCACGTGCTGCCCCGGCCTTCTCTTCAGCCTGGCCGGCATTACGTGGCTTTTCTGGACCGGCCTGATGTGGGGCACCACCTGTGACCTAGGAAACAAAGGTGACCACACAGCGAGGCTGTAGTGTTCCATGAAACTAACTGTGAAGGCTAACCCAGGCGACAAACGCCTGCAGAAGTTGGATGTGGCCCAGATATCACAGCCATGCTGAGTTGAGTCAAGAATTCACATCACAGAACTCGGGGCATTCCTATGCATGCTCCATCCTCATCTCCAGCAGCCAGTGCAGTTCCAATGCTAATGGTACCGGTTGTAATCTGGTATTATGTCCGTCTTGTCTTTTCTGTAAGTGTAGTGAATCGGCCAGCCCCTCTAGTTTCACCTAGGTGCATCATTTTCTCTAGGCCAAAATAATATTTTTCTGTTTTGACTTCGTTAGATGTTCCCAAAGAGCCTAGACAACGTCTGTCATGTATTAATTCACCACCCAGTGGCGCAGATCCTGCTAGTCAGTCTGCCTGTTCATTCCCTACCACGCCAGCATTGCCTGGAGAAAAGATCCTAAGTATACTTACTATCCGTGACCTTACTAGTGAAGTTTGCCACTCTGCTCGAAGCATCCCTGCTGTGCTGTAAACAGTCACAATGTAGTTACATCTTTGGATGAACTTAGAAGAAGAAGAAGAATTTTCTTTGGAATTCCAGCTGGGTCATGACACATTTTTTTTTTAGTTAAAGGATCAAGATCTACAGTCATCTGAGAACAGTTTCTTATTAATCCAGTAGCAAATGCATTTATATTTCTGTTTGTTGTTCTTCAGAGTACAGGTGATTCCTTAGATGATGATGATGACGACACTGAAGATGCAGGCCATGACACCAAGAAGAACACTGTATATAACGAAGGCACAGTACCTGGACATCACCCAAAACCTGCTTATGAGGTGAGAAACTGAACACAGTGGCTATTATGAATATTATAATAATAATAATAATGGCATCCGTCAGTCCCGGGGGACTATGGAGATGAATATTACATTTGTTTTAAGGACCCTTTTCCATGCTTCAGGTGTATTGGGCATTTAGTGCTAGACTAGTATTTTATACACCAATCAGCATTTGGTGGGGCGATGTGGTCAGCACAATGCCGGCCACCTTTACTTCCCATGACTTTACCTGTTACCTATGCAAGACTGGATCAACCTTGGAGCCAATGTCATTTTTTTAAGAAAGTCTGGCTCCATTCGGATTTAAACCCACAACCTTTGGATCCGCAGGCAAGTGTCTAGCTGCTACATCATGATAGTTCCTATTTATTATTTTAAACCAAAAAAGTAAAAGACTAGTTTTATGCTCAGCACATGTATTGACCATACAGCATTAGTGTTATATTTAAATTTTTTTCTTTCAGTAATACTTGTTACTGATTATCTGTATCTGCATTATAGCACATGTGATATAGGGATTTAGTATAATCTGTTTTACTCTTTCCCTCTTTTTCAGTCACTCCTTTTTTGTCTCCCACATTCGCCACCTGACTCCCACCTCATCTCTTTTTCTCTCATCTGTCCCCCCCCCCCGTCCCCCCGTCCCCCCCCCCCCCCCCCCCCGTCCCCCACCCTTTCTCTTCCCCAGTCTCTCTCCCTCTTCATCTCTTAATGCTTTCACATTTCTTATCACTGTAATCAGTCTTCCCTTCCCCCTCCCCTTTTGTTCATCTTCCCAATTCTCTCCCCCCTTACCACACACACACACTCACTAAGAAGATTGTCAGCTTAGATTCACATGAGAAGATGTCTAAAAATAGCCACCTGACATTCCTGGGCAGTGCAGTCATATCATTGACATCCTACAGTCTCTGTACCTTCCCTTTCATACACCTCAGCTGTCTGCACTGTAGTGTAGGTCCCTGCTTGTCAAGCATTTCTTTGGCTGATGTCCCATCTTACCTGTGTAACGTTTGTTTTCTTGTAGTTGATCATTGTTACTATAACTGTTTTTTAAAGGATTATATTTCTGAGGCTGTATGACACAGTAGTTTTTGTTGCTGGGAGAGACAGGGTATTTTGTGTGTGTGCAGAGCAGATGATTAACGTTTTGCTGTGTGAGAAATAAAAGTGACGGCATGAAACATTTTCTGACACTGTGGATATCTCTGTTTAGATATAAACCCCAATTATTTATATAAAGCCATCATTTATAAGTTGTGGAAATTATTTTAGAAGTATTTTTCTTTTCTCAAGAAGCTAGGGGCCATCTGTGGTACACTCTTTATTTGAGTTGTCTATTCAGCTGCATGATTTCAGATTAGTGAGTTTGCCAGTCTATTAGATTTATTGATTGGGAGGTGGGGGGGGGGGGGGGGGGGGGAAGTAGATGATGCATGAAGTGTGTTCATTGATTTGAGATATTGGGTGTATATAGGATGGTTTTCATGGGGAACAACTTCATATGTTAAGGTGGCCTTACCTAGAACACATATTTTGACTTTCAGGGTGTTTTTATATATTGTCTTCACAATTTTCAGCCTGTCTCATTTTGCTGCTTTCTTTCTCTTATTTTGTTTTCTTGCTGTCACATCTGTCTCTCTTTGTCTGTCTTCCCTCTATTTCTCTATTTCTTCCCTCTATATCTCTCTTTCCTACTGTGTTTTTTGTCTTTACTCCTGTTTCTGTTCTCTGTTACTAAATGAATCTCCTCTCTCATTTACTCTTCTCTCACTTATATCTCTCAGTTGAGTTGTGTGAATATGGGTTAGGTATTTTTGAAGTACATCTTCAAAATGTTATGGGATCCTACCCTAGGACTATCATTTTGACTTTCAGATAGTTTTTATATTCTCTTCACAATTCCCAGCTTTTCAGAATTTACTTCTTCTTGCTCTTATGTCTGTCTGTCTCTCTCCCTCCCTCTCACATGTCTTTTTGTCTTTCTTCTGTCTCTTTTGAACTTTTACGTCTCTTCCTGTTTTTCTTCTCTGTCTATCCCCATGCAGGTTCTGAGGCCCCCATCTTGGCAGAAAAAGTATTGACTCACTGCCCCCCCCCCCCCCCCCCCCCTCCCACCCACAAACAAGATTTTCATAAGAGATGGCTAATGAGGGTTGTTTCTTCTGAAGTCAAAGTGCATCTGCTTGACAGGCAAAGAACCAACAGTCTGCATGCAAATAAGACAGATGTATGAAACATACCAAGTTCAAGTTCTGGAACAAGACTTAAGTTCCAGAAATGGATGAACAACCTGAACAATCTTCGGAGTTTACAACCGTTGGACGCTGATGAGAAGACTAAATATCTCTCTCTCATATATTTATCACTCTTCTCCTCGTGAATAATATGAGTCTATCGCTCTTCTCATCTTACATCTCTCTTTGTCTACATGTCTCCCCCTCCCACCTGTGACTTCCCAATGGTATTGATTATGTTGCAGCAGTGCAGTGCAATGTCTGATTCTGTATCCTGCCGTTTTATCTGGTTAATTGATGCTGCTGATAGCAAGACACAGTTTCAGGATGAAGTGCACAGAACAATGAACTCTGTTAATCCGTGGGTCAACATTTCACTGTTTCATCATTAGCCCAAATGTCAAGTCAAAGTGTTATTGACCTGTTGTGTAGTTGCAATATTTGATGTAGCATTGCTAATGGGTATTTATACTGTTGATATACTTACATGCCAGCACCTAGTGTTATTTTACTGTTGGTTTTCAACTTTTTGTCTTGCAGAAAAGCAAACTAATGATGTCTAATTGTAGTCCTATCTTGTAATGTGGTAAATTGTCATTTCGGATCTGTAAGGAACTTTATGAAATTTTTCCATTTGGCTGTGTGAAGAAATTTAGTGAATTGTTTCTTTTTGGAAATGAGAAAACCTGCACACAACAAAATATTGTATTTGTTGAGGAAGAATGGCAGATCTATTCTTTAAACATTGCTATATTTAAAGTCTGCCAAAAGGTGCAAATGTCATTCATTACTAGCACATAAATAGGGAAAAAAAGGTGTTTATTATTTTTATTTTGTACTTTCACAAAAACTTTCAGGGTACAGATTATAATATTGATGCCATGATTTTATTATATTGTTTTTGATTATAATGATGATTTCAGAAATGGATTTTTTCTTTCTTAGGGAAGACACTCTTCAAATCCCATCTTTTCTCATCCAAGGCGAAACAAAAGGTTAGTATGGCTGAATACTTTTACTTTCCATAATCTGAAGTTTCTCACAGATTTAAAAAAAAATACAATATTGAACTTAAACAGTCCTGTCTTTTCAGAGATCCTGGGTCATTAGTGTTGATATTTTCTCCATGGTATGCAGTTGTGCTGGGTATTGAACAGGCAGGCAGATTGGCTGGCTGGTTGTTCACCACTTAGTGGTAAATTGATAAAGGATGAATTAGATGTTATCAAGGTTCTGTGAACAGTGAGGAGGCACACAATTAAAATCACTGTCTGAAGAGAATGGTATGGCAGGAATTGACCAGGGGTTCTGGCCAACACTTGACCCTTAGGAGAAAGGTAATATGGGCGTACTGACTGCTGTTGGCACCATCTGTGTTGGCTGCTGATGATGGCGATGGAGCACTTATTAAAAGATCCTGAGTGTTGTGGTGTCAGTTGTGTCAGAATGATTTGAAGTGACCAGAATTTTAACAAGGTACAATTCACTTACAGGGCATTTAAGAGGGGGATTATCTGTTTTGTTTCTTTATGGCACAGTTTTGGGTGTTACTGTTAGTAGTAGTTCGGTCTTCACCGCAAATTGGTCACCTTATATTGCTCCGCTTATGTGTTAGCGAAAAACCACACAAACTACCTATTTTTTGTTTGTTCCATGTGAAAAGCTGACCAGACAACAGTCCTTGCAAAGCCAACAACATACATATAACATTAAATGCATAATATAGCTTCCAGAGGTGCCGACATCAACTATCTGTCAATAAAATTGCAGTTCATTGTCAGCAGTCATAAAAAAACCAGTCGTTGTTTTGCATGAGGCATGTCACATTTTGCTTAGATGAAAAGCATTTGACATGAAATCCACAGCTCATTTTCACACTAAACACTCAACTCAGTAGCTGGTCAAATCTTGCGGGCCCCGAGATGAGGTGAAAAGGCAGAAACGAACTGATGATTCATACACTGACCAGGCTTTGTGCTATGGAGAGAAGGAACTTCATCCCTGGTTTTGCCATAGGCTGTGATTCCCATACCTCTATTAGCACAATGAAACACTGTCATCTGGAAAGACAGAAAGGTTGTAGCTTATCTATAAGTAAGAATTCTATGCTGTTGGTAAATTTTTAATTAGATTCATTTTTTCCTCAGCCCATCTGATCTCGAAGCTGATCTAGAAGACAACCAGGACTATGATAGTACTGTTAGTCATTCAGAAACAAATCTGACACTCATCGGCCGTTCAGAGTCATCAGATATTGCTGAGAATATGCCAGGCAGACAGCAGCCTGGCATCGGTACTGGAGTTAGCGGAAGAGTCAACACCGGGTCTTTCAGCTCGAAATACTCTCCCGAGTCCAGCAGACTTCTGAAGTTCAATGCCGGTAACATCTCCAGTGATGCCGACTCCTCCAGAACCAACACCCCTTCGACTTCTTCATCTTCTTCTCTTCTCTCTCGCAGTCGCGACATAGAGTCACCTCGATCCGCAGCTGGAGTCACAACCAGCACTGCTGCAGAAGCAGATTTGTCACGGAGGTTTAATGCCACAAACACCACTTCCACAACTGTGGAGACGAATCAAGGCACACAGCCAGCACAGGCCAGACCACTGGGGTTTTCTGTATTCAATAACAGCAACGTTCTGGGAGCACGATGCGAGAAGCCATCATACTCCAGCTATGTCAGCAGTGCATCCCGGTTTAGAGACAGAGATTCCGGAAGCAGTAGTAACTCCATTCATTCAAGACTGGCTACGTACCAAACTCCTCGTCCTTTTATATCAACTTCAGCTGCCCCAGTCACGCAGCAGAATGAAGCTATTGCTCAGCTGGAGAAGGTAAGCAAATATTCCAACAGTTTACCTTTTGCATATGTTGATAGCTGTGGGATTGGGGAGAAGACCACACTTTGCGTCGGCCGATTTTGACATTGGCATGGAGCACTGACCCTTACTCTTCGGCATTCACCATTTAAAGGGCAGTTATCACTCTGTGTTGCAGTTTAATTTACACTTGGGATATGATATCTGCACTTTCAATCCAACTCATCTGATTTCAGCAAATCCCTAATTAGTTGCCTTTTACAACATGCTATTTGGGAGCTGAAGGGGTCTATTCTTTCTCCTCAAAATGAAGCCCTGGCCCTGAAATACATATGAGAATGTCTCTTCAGTAAGCAATGGGAAATTTAAAATTACCTGGTCAAACCGCAGACAGCCACAAAAGGCTTGCATAGGATTGCAGCGTCCTGTAAAGGATATACAGCTATCATTATTTTATAGTCCGGAGAAACTAGAAAGTTCCTTGAGCCTCGGCGATATAATACCACCTAATATCCCTTTGACAGCCAAAATTAGTAAAATGTTGGTTACAAATATAATTTCATAATTGACTTCATCATCGGCATCCTGTTATCCCTGTGTGGGTTCCGGGGCCCTAATGTAGGGAAAAAAGAATAGACCTACTGCTTACCAAAAAGCAAGTTGTTAGAGTCGACTAAATGGGAGCTTCCTTCGAAGTTGAAGTGTGTCTGCTTGAGAGGCAAGGAACCAACAGTCTGCAAAAAATTGAACCAGATCTGTAAAGTGAATGTACACACAACACTGAGGTTCTGGAACAGGACTAGATTCCAGGAGTGGACGAACAACCAAAACTTTCACCTGGAGTTTACAGCTGGTGAGCGCAAAGAAGAAGAATCATGTTACACATCACAGAGGGCTCAAAAGTTTTTTCTATCCATTTCTATCCTGGATGAATGCAGTTCACAGCTACTTTGGCCTCTCTCATCAAGGTTCAGCATATATTTCTCTTAGATGTGACATTTTTATTTCCACAGTCCATTTGTTTTTCATTTCGTTGCCTATTTTGGTGATTCTCTGTCCTCATCTCTTCAGGATATTTCCCAACGAGAAGTTGTCAAGCCGTTGGACTCACACTCTGAAAGTCGTGGGTTCATTTCTTGACTACTGTATTCAGTTCATGAGTGCAATTTTTACAGAGGCCCATGGTGATCATTGCCGGAGCTACAGAGTTTGTGCTTTGTGTGACACTCTCAGCAGGCGACCAACTATTCTGTGGAGAGAGATCGGGCCATATTGGATAAAACCTGGTGCATCTAACAAAGTTGGGTCCAGGTAGACCATGGTTGGCCGTTCATTCATGCGTCCTAACCTTTTAATGACTCCAGAATATTTAGACCCCCCACCTCACCTCACAGGCTCAGCTTATGTCTCACGAGAGACTGCACCCTAGGTGCTGTGGTTTCAGAAGTGTTAACATTTTAAGACATGGATAAAAGTCCAGTTACAGTGTCCCTGGGGCTGACTTCGTTACTTGAACCCTTTTAACCTTTAATTTTTAGGGTGTTCCCAGTGTATCGTCAAATTCTTTGTCTTATAATTATTGATACTGGCAAGTCTCCAGACATTTCTCTTTTTTTTTTTTTTTTGCCTTCCTATAATTCATCCAATTTAACTCTTTCAGTGACAAACAAGGCATGGTGTGTGAATGACTCCATAGCATAATGTACTCTCTTTCTTTTATATTTGGTCAGAACATACTAAAAAAAAATAATGTAGCCTCCCCAAATGGCCATTACCACCATGTATATTGCCATCTTGAATGTAATTAATTCAGGATATATCATCACAGCTGTTTTTGTTTTTTTATTTCCTGTATCTCCCATTAAAAACCTGATGGGGCTGAAAGAGTTCATGTTCATCACTCTCCTCAAGCTATTGTTTTTTTAAAAATACATTTAATTATGGCTCCATGTCTTCGCCTACGTAATGCTGACCACATTACCCACCTAGTGCCGATTGGTTTGTAAAAAATATGGGGTGCTCTCCCCATATGCCCGATACGCCTTAGGCATGAAAAGGGATCTCTACCACTACCCCTTTTTTTTCAACCATTTTTTTGATGGTTCTCTAAAATAACTTAGTCACAAAATAACCCTGAAATAGGCACCAGTGGATGTCCAATGCTCTGTCTCTTGCCTTGCTGGTACACTCTCTGAGACTGGTCTGTCCATATGTTGATGTTATCCTCCCATTTGTATCGCTGTCTGCTTCTTACTCGCTTGCCTTCAACTTTTCCTTTTAATCTGGTCTCACCAGCTTTGAACAACATTATTTTGGTACCATTTTATGTACCTCTTAGAACTTTACTTCGAGTGGACATGCTTTTTCTTCTCTTGAAAGTGTGAATGTTATGTTGAAAAAGGCTTAAAATGTCATAAAGTTTCTTTGTTGTTGCATGCATTTATATCATGGACAATAAACAGATACATGTTGAAACATGGACAATAGATAGATAATTGTTGAGACATGGATAGTAAACAGACAAATGTTGAAACATGGACAATGGTCAGAGAGAGATGTTGAGGATAATTCAACGAATACCATTGACTAACAGAAAAACAAAAAGATAGTGCAACAGGAAACCCAAATTGATTGATGATTAAAGAAATTAGATGTAGGCTGTTGTGATCAAGAGGGGAAGAAGAGACACTGGTGTTGGATAGGACACAAGCTGAAGAAATCTGAGAACTAGAATGTCTTTGCACTTGAAGCAACAGGAGCGTAGAAATACCAGCAGATGAAAATACACACTGAGGCTAAATAAAGATAAAGTTTATAAAAGAAAAAAGGACGAGATGGAATGAGCTGCATGCAATAGCATAGGATAGGACAATTTGGTGTGAAATTTTGGTTGAGGACTTAGGCTCCATTGGGAGATAACGGGCAGAAGAAGAAGTTGTTATATTATATACATCATATGAGGAGAAATGAACTGACAGCTGGCAAAATTCGTAGATAATAAATGAAGCAAGAGGAAAATGCAGAGATACTGTGTTGTTGATTGAATCCATTATTTCTTGTTTAAAAAGATGTCACTTGAATGTTTTCTGTTGAGAGGAAAAACTACCATATTTGCTGCTGCTGGTTAGCATGTTTGAATTGAACAGAGCATTTGGTTTGTACCAGACTTCTTTTTAGTGTTTGATCTCCACTCTCTTGACCAGACTAATGGTACAGTCCATTCCTAAGACCACAAACACTGTAGACTCTAGTTGTAGAGCTTAATTCCATAACCAACACAGTCAGCTATATTGGTATAGCCAGTTTTGGTACACCACTGTAAACTCTGTAGTACAGTCTGTTTCTAAGACCACCACTGTAAACTCTGTAGTACAGTCTGTTTCCAAGACCACCACTATAAACTATTGGCACAGTCTTGTTTCCATGACCACAGCTTTAAACTCTGTTGGTACAGTCTGTTTCCAAGATCACCACAGTAAACGAGCAGACAGTGTATTGATCGGCACTCATATATAAATAACTAGAAAGATAGGAAACATTAGAGAACAGCAAAAATCGAAAGCTGTAATTACCATGCTGGGAATCAAACCTGTCACCTCCAAGTGGTGTGTATGCCTAGTTTTGGAAACAAACAAGTGTACTAAATGTACAAGTGCAATTTTGGATGCACATCTATTTTACAGATCTGGCTTATTTGTGTTCAGACCTCGTATTAGTACTGTCTGTTTGCCAGTACCATCACCATACACTGTTGTGGTACTGTCTGTTTCCAGTACCACCACTATAAAGTATTTTCACAGCCTGTTTTCAGTACCACCACTATAAAGTCTATTTTCACAGCCTTTTTCCAGTGCCACCACTATAAAGTCTATTTTCACAGCCTGTTTTTAGTACCACCACTATAAAGTCTATTTTCACAGCCTGTTTCCAGTACCACCACTATAAAGTATTTTCACAACCTGTTTTCAGTACCACCACTATAAAGTCTATTTTCACAGCCTGTTTTCAGTACCACCACTATAAAGTCTATTTTCACAGCCTGTTTCCAGTACCAACACTATAAAGTCTATTTTCACAGCCTGTTTCCAGTACCACCACTATAAAGTATTTTCACAACCTGTTTTCAGTACCACCACTATAAAGTCTATTTTCGCAGCCTGTTTCCAGTGCCACCACTATAAAGTCTATTTTCACAGCCTGTTTCCAGTACCACCACTATAAAGTCTATTTTCACAGCCTGTTTTCAGTACCACCACTATAAAGTCTATTTTCACAGCCTGTTTCCAGTACCACCACTATAAAGTCTATTTTCACAGCCTGTTTCCAGTACCACTACTATAAAGTCTATTTTTACAGCCTGTTTCCAGTACCACCACTATAAAGTCTATTTTCACAGCCTGTTTTCAGTACCACCACTATAAAGTCTATTTTCACAGCCTGTTTCCAGTACCACCACTATAAAGTCATTATAGATGTGTAACTAAGACCACTACTAAAAACTCTGTTGGTACAATCTGTTTTCACAACCATCACCATAGACTGTAGATACATTGTTTCTATGGCTGTCATCATAAACCCTAGTGGTACTTCTTGCTTCTGAGGCCACCTGTTAATGGTGGAATAGTGTCCTGAGCAGCTAAATTCTGGTTCATTATCCTTGCCACAGATAGTGAACATAATTAGCTGACCATTTTGTGTGTGTTCAAGGTTAGGTCTGTTTCTTTCATCCCTGAGGGTATTTTCATCATGACCAGGGCTAATCATTTGTTTATTCAAATATTTCCACAAGAAGTGAATAAAATAGCTTCAAGACAGCTGTGGTCATAAATTTATCTGTAAATTTCATTTTTATACATTTGATTTCAGTCCAGTTTTTAGATTTTAATTTCAAACTGTCCCTGCTTGCAGCAACTGGAGCAAGAGAAACAGAAGAACAGCAAATTACAACAGCTCATGGATGAGAAAGAAAAGAAGATTGCTGAACTTCAAAAACAAGTGGAACTGCTCAATGTGGT